ATATGTAGGACAGCACACACCTACATCCTTTAGACCAAGCCAGGTTCACACGATATACTGTTTGAATGTACTGAATACGGGCTCGTCACTACTGTCTTGTGCTGTATATCGATTGAAGGCACTAAACAACCTAAGCCAATCTCACTCTCTTTCCCACCTACAATTCCGTGTATACTCTCACCCACACCCTTCGAATCACGCATGCTTTGACATACTATGCAGTCTATATACAGCCGACACAATCCCGTGGCTATTGTCTCGGTTAGTATATACGGTAGAGACTCAGTCACCCTCAGGACCCCCCGTGCAGTATCTGCCTGATGTTGTACAGCTAGTCACGTGTCTGGTGCGTGTGTGTGGGTGGCCAGAGCACCTACAAGTGGCGCCAGATACCTACTTGTATGCTCTGTTACAGGTACTTTTATATTTTATGAAATGTTCTATTTCTCGTGTAAGTATTTAAATATCTATATATAGATATGTTTATGGGTCAATGTATTTCTGTGTAGTGCAGCTAGTCACATGTCTGGGTGCGCGTTTGTGGGTGGCCCGTACACCTACTCGTGTGCCCTAGACACCTACTTGTATGCTCTCCTCCGAGAGGTTGGGGAAATTAAGAGGTCCACGGTTTTAGGGTTGTAGGGTTTCATTGCATATGTTTAATGATGTGCAGCTAGCCACGTGTGAAGTGGGTTTGTGTGGGTGGCCTGCACACCCACAGGTGGCGCCTAATACCTACTTGTACGCTCTGCTGAAGGTATGTGTAGATGTTCTGAAGTGTTCTCTCGTTCCATTCAGTTAACGGCTAAATGCATATTTATTCGTGGAGGTGTCGTTGTGTAGGTACAGCTAGTTGCGTATCTAGTGAGCGTGAGTCTTTGGTCAGTGCGCCTACACGTGGCACCAGATACCTACTTGTGCGCTATGCTACAAATATGTGATGATGTTTTGCCCATGGGTGTAGATATTTTGAAGTGTCCACTCTTTCCAGTCGCTTGTTTATTTATTTAGCTACATATATATATATATATATATATATATATATACGTACTACGTGTTCTTGTGTAGCACGTAC